TCATGTGTATTAGTAGTATTACTAAATTCTATCACGGTCAAGTAAAAATGAGGTTGAGAAAATCTCCCCGTAACTAAATAAACCGTATCAAACTAACTGGAACACTAGTTGGAATTCTTCTCCACGGTATACTTTTGTTCCTTCAGTTAGCCTACTAATACAGATGCAATTGGAATTCAACTCATATGGACAACTTACCGGCATAATCGTTATTTGATTTCATAATTTAAACCAAAACTAATACCAATATTAACATTTCTACAATATTCATTACTTTAATATTTCTAAACACAAAATACTTACTACCTATACGTTAAGTTATTAACCAACGGCTATTAACACGCATCGTTTTATTATTATTATTGTTATGCCATTTTTTATAGTTCAAATAATCTTCACCCAAATTTTCATTTCAAGCGTTTTAAGCATGAAGGCAGATATTTTAAAATTATTACATGTATTTCCCGACCAGATGCTGCCGCCTTCTTTTTGATTTATCTTTCAGCTTACCAATACCCGGAGGATTCTTATTATCCTTGGTAACCTCCGGCGCGCGACGATCCCATCCAATTTGGTATCGAACCAACATCACGTTGATTCTGGTGGGAGAGTAGTGTAGTGGCATTGGACAATAGCCACACAATCCACAAAGCTGTGAACACGAGACTACTCAGAAAATAGATATTCAATATTTAACGCGGAGAAATACCTAACAATGGAGAAGGCGCGAACAATGAATTGAATGGACTGGAGTTGATCGATGGCATGGCTCGGCCATGCAGGCGTGGTCCATCTCAATGTTACTTTATATCTTCTATTCATATTAAATATATTGTTCTTTCTCTAGCCTAACCTTGTTCTACATCATGTATTGGTAATTGATACGATACAGTGAGTTGGTGTAGTCGATGGTGTGACTTCCACGTAAGATCTTATAGATTAGGCAGTTATATCATGACAAATCTACAAATTTAGGATTAGGTCTATTATTAGAGCAGTACTAATATCATAGTAGACCATAATTCTACAGATATAAAATTACAAATATGAGTTGTGGGGATGTATCGTCCCCAACAGAACGGTAGTTCATATGTTAGTTGAATTAATTATACCAATCTGTCAACCTGAGATGTAGTATACAATAACATCAGCAAGCTTTTGACAAAGTTCCTTACAATCGGATGTTAGATAATTTGATTAACATTGTGATTAAAGGGAATTATTGATGCGGATAAGGGTCTTCTTAGTTGGGCGTTATTAAAGAGTACGGGAGAACCAAAATTTATCTATCTTGGAAACTGTACTTATCAGAGTGCCTTGAGGTACAGTTGTGTGGTTAGTATTTTTTCATGTATGCAAATGATCTTCTTAGTCTCTTATCATCATCGGTTGTCGACGATCTCAAGATCATAGTATACAGCCTCAAAATGACCTAAAGAAATTATCTGGGTGATCTAGAACTTAGCAGTTGCCGATAATTGCCTCTAAGTTCATCGTGATATATATTAGTTACCAGTGTATATACACATGCACGGTGAATAACAGTGGGCTACTTGATTTCCAGACACTCAAGGACTTAGGTGTCATCATTAGCTAAGACCTAAAAACTATTGCGTACTACCGTGCAATCGCCGCCAAAAGTTTTAGAACCCTGTGGTCAATCTGTCGATCCATTAGCAATGTTGATGTTAAAAACTTTTAGATTTTGTTTACTATGCTCATTAGCTCTAGACCCAAGTGTTGCATACAAGCGGCTGGCTTATACCCAGAAAACACAGTGGTCTGTTGGAAAGGTCCCAAGGAACTGCATCTAAGCTAACTCCCGAAACTACAATGTCCCTTATAATGATAAACTGACTAAACCAAATCCATTTTTCATGCCATATAGAAGAACCACAGGTAACTTGATCCCAGCTTTTAATCTACTAAGTGCCGAAGTCGCTCCCGATATCCCTTCACTACTCTCGTCTTTCAGAACAAAAAATCTACGAGAACATTTAAAATGTTAATAGTCGCAGAGCAAAGCACTTGTCAGCTGATTATCCGCTTTCACATCGAATCATCGAAGAATAGAACTCATAATTTCAACACGTAGTTGAACCCTCATCTTTCGATGCTTTCTGAAGGAAGTTGGACTAACTGACATATCATCATAACCTAGACTAACACAGACTATCTAGCCTTTTGTCCTTTCTAAGCCGAACGATTACTTACGTAAAAAACACTCTCAGTGTTACTTTAACCAAGATTAGTTCAATTAAAGTGAAATCAGTAGTCTCGATGTGTATTAAGCGATAAAAAATATTAATTTAACTAAGCGAGAAAATATATAACTGAACTTTAAAATGGTTAGCTTATCTCCGACTAACTAAATAATGGTTTTTTCTTCCTGACTTGAACATTTAGGTTTTTTGTGAGGATATCGGTTATCCATTGCTGCTAAACGAGGAAGCTGCCTCGGTAAAAGCCTCTCCCATCGCATTACCAACTACCTGGATCATTTTAAGAGCTTAGACCTTTCTTACATTTTCAGTTTGGAAAGGAAAGGACAGAAGGCTTGATAGCCTGTGTTATTCCTGGCAATGGTGGTCGCTCAGTTGATCCAACTATCTTTTGAAAGAGTTGACGGATGGAGCCTCCACCACGTCCTGAGGTAATGAGTTACACTCATTGATTATTCGATGGGAAAGTTGATAGTCAGCTGACAAGTAATTTGTTCTCGGCTTGTGAACTTTTTTGGAGTGTCCTCGTAAATTCTCTGTTTTGGAAGACAAGAAGAATGAGGGCATATCAGGTGCAAATTTATCACTAAGCAATTTGAGAACTGTAATCAAGTCTCCTCTAGTTATACGATATGACAACGGTAATAGGTTTAGCTTGACCAGTCAAGTGTCATACGGAAGCTTCGCTATTCTGGGAATCAGCTTAGTTGCTGTTCTCTGAACCTTTTCCAGAAACTCACTGTCTTTTTTAAGCAGGGATAGCCGCTTGTATGCAGTACTCAAGTTTGGGACGTACGAACACTGTATACAAAGTCAAAAACGTTTTGGCGTCGACATGACTAAAAGCTCCACGTATTGACCATAACGTTATAAAACCTCTGGCAGCTATTGCACGCCAGTATGCAGTAGTATTCAAGTCTTGGCTATTCATCGTGTATGTGTCTGGACCTTGATGACCAAGATGCATCGCAATACACTTCGAAGTATTAATCGGCAACTGCCAGGTTTGAGACCATTCAGATCATTTCTCCTGGTCATTTTGGAGTTCTAAGCCATCACCCTTACATCGTATCGTTCTCCATATCTTGACATCGTCAGTATATAGCAAGGCCGATGATGATAGAAAACGAGGAAGGTCATTTACATACAAGAGGAATAGAACTGGCCCCAAAGCTGTACCCTGGGACACTCTACTAGGCACAGTTTTCCAGCTAGATAACTTTGAGTTCACCCGTACTCTTTGTTGGTGCCCAACTAGGACGTCCTTTATCAACATCAATAGATTGCCTTCAATTCCGACATTCCTTAGCTTATATAACAGCCGGTTGTGCGGAACTTTATCATAAGCTTTGCTGAAGCCAAATTAGACTACGTTTACAGGTAACTTTTGATCCCTAAGAGCACACGATCTTTCACAGGCCACTAATAAGTTAGTGAGACAATAATAACCTATTCTAAAAGGATGCTGCTTATTTAGCAGACCAAAGACATCGAGTTCTTTAATGGTCACGCTATCCAGTGTATGTGTGGGGGGATTTGTATGCGCTGACGGGAAGAGTGCTTCTATAGTATATACATTGCTAAAGTAGTTTGAGAACACTTGAGCCTTACTAAATCCTTCCTCCACTAAGGATGCGGCAGTAGTTTCCCCTTAGTGCAGGAATGTTCCCTCTTCTTTTTGTCCTTTGGTTTATATAGGAATACAAGCGTTTAAGACATTGTATGGATTCCTTAACAATTTTTTCTTCGTATAACTTTCTAGGCTTATGGAGGGTCGAGGCACAGGTATTCCGAGCTTTTTCATACTGAGATTTTGATTCATCAGTCACCAGTAACCTAAATCAATCCCACATTTTTCTTCTCTTACGGAGAAGGATGCGGACCTCTTTACTGAATCATGGTGGAAAGTTTCTTGGCCCCCTTGGTATAGTCCAAGGGATGCGGAGTGCGGTAGCTTTTAAGTATAAATTTCTGAACGCGTCCCAAGCCGTTTCAATTGAGGACTCTGGGTATATTGTCCAATCTACTAACGATGCTGAGTGCATGATATCTGGTATGTTTGCTTTCCAGACGTTAGGTCTGGATTGAGTTAACGCGTGCTCGTGTTTGACAGTTATATGGAAGTCGAAAGTTGAAACTGCGTGATCACTTTTACCTAGGGGTAGTATATAATGAGTCAGTATAAGATCTAGTAAGTATGATTCATTGCTCGGGTCGTACCTAGTTGCTTCTTTCACTTGTTGCACTAGGACACATGTGATAACCCCATCAACTAGTTCCTGGTCGAAGGAATTTTCCGACGATTCAGTTCGCGGATTTTCTCAGTCTACCGTAGGTGCATTAAAGTCCCCTACGATTAGACAGCGACCACTTTGTGACCAAGTATTGAGACTACTTTACAAGACCTCATATACCTCACAGCTTAGATTGCGATAGACCAAACCAATCAGTAGATTTTGTCCCTTGCATTTCACGCGGCAACTAACCAATTCACACGTCCCACTCTCATGGGATACACTGTCGATAATGGCAAATTGGATAGAATTCCTCATGAATAGTGCTACTTCCCCTCGTTTACGCTTTTGTATTCTGTCGGCCCTTACTAACGTAAAACCCTCGAAATCAAGTTTCATACTATCTACAGACTGTGTCAGCCAGGTTTTTGTGACTGCGATTATGTCTGGCTTTGTAGACTCAATCTGTACACCTAGTTCCCATCGCTTACTGAGTAAGCTTCGGGCATAGAAATAACATCAGAGTAAGATCTAACTTTGTTTAGCCGAATATTTTAAAGAGCTGACAAAATGTTTAGTATTTTAAGATATCAAAATAAACCACATTGTCGATCTCAATTGCTATTTGATGCAAGTTCCTGGCGGAACTTCAATGTGTGCGTTATGGATGGTAGGTCTTGTGAGTTAATGGTCCACCATCCTAGATCCTGACCCTTTGAAAAGTCTCAACTGGAATGCACGTAGACATTCAGTTGCTAATCGTCGTCACGTTGAGCTCGTTGGGTTCTCAGATACATTGTCAAAAATGTACCATGCCGTGCTTCATTGCGTTATGGAACTGTACCGAGGTAGTTACTGACTCACTAGACGAGCTTTTCCCAATATGTTATAGATGACAGAGACTGTCAAATTTCTTGGCAGCATTTCAGGAACGCCGCTGATAAATTGGCGGAAATGCACAAATATGTGAAGCTATCTATACTGAAAGTGTATGAACTTGGGATTGTTGAAGGAGCAGCTTCTTTCTCCTCCGATTTCTTCGACAAAATCAGGGATATGCCATTGCAAAATGGAAATAGGGTTTGTTTTAACCTTTTGTAATTCAGGTTTTTTGGTATAATCCTTTTGTAAGACTTGGGAAGTTATTTAAAATGATTGTACCTTTTGAAGTAGGAATTAGCGGATAAAGAAATACGTTTCATCCATTAGGAAAACTTTACCAAACGATCGTCAGTTTACGGTTTTAATATCAGTCTTTCGATAGATGGAAACAAGATTCCGAAAACCAGTACTTTTTACATTAGTTCGTACAAAAAAATGATTTGTGGATAAGGATATAAAGTTTAAGGGTCTGTATCAGTTCTCCTGGTGTTATGGGAATTTTTTCTCCTATGTTGTCAAATATAAGATAATGTACTTAAATTTAATGTCAACCCATGCTCTGTTTCAACAGTGAATCATGGCTCTTCTCACGGTGCCAAAGTTTAGACACTTGTAAGAATTCTCCAAAATATCTTTTAAGTTTGTCATTCATATACAATAGAAACAATGAGGATTACTTAAATTTTTCACCAATCGTTTAGACCCACATAATAACACATTTCAACCTAGTTACATGTCAAACGTCGTACCTTTCGTGAAGCGCTATTGGCTCCTTTTATCGTTACAGTCCCTATCGTTTGCGCCTGTTGAAATATATCTGCTGAACATAAAAAAAACCGTTTCTCCCTTAGTTTATTTCTAACTATGTTGGGTTTAAAATATGGAATGGTCATCTGATTTTCTGGAAAACCAAGATCCGGAAACATGTACCAGCCGCCGATATATCCCCATCATTAAAAGTTTGTTAGCACCTTCCGAAAATATGCATGGGGCCTTCAGTTTGTATTTTATATTTCCATTGTTACCCATAGATATATACAAACCAGTCAGATAACTTTAATGCTGATGCAAATAAAGATCAATCAGATCTGCTACACTTCACATCAACACAGACGGGAGAAATTAAAATCAGTGTTGAGGATAGAGTTATTATTTATTTATTTATTTTAACACATAGATATTGGTACAAGGAGGCACCAAATACATATGCGCCACACAAATCTGATTCGATATGTGTGAGGGCTGTGATACTGCCCGGGTGCCCAAACCGAAGCAGATGGTTTTCTTAGGGGGCCACATCCCGAGCCTTCGACCTGAAGGTCTGATCCACAAGGCAGTGGAGCATCGTAAGGAGATGCAGTCCCATGGAGGCCGGTGACCAACAACTAGTTCATACGCCATTTGTTTCTTTCAGGATACTGGAGCCCATGTGCACCATTGGTTTGGAATCCGGTTAAAGCGCCGGACATTCGCTTTTCGTCGGAAGCAATAGTCGAAACTATTAAATAGAAATATCCTGTGTTCAATGTTTAAAAAGCCGACATCACTTGGGACTCCATCGTCATTAAGAAAATATACTGCCCATTATTTTTACTCTCTGAAAAAGTGACTTACACTGAGTTACGAAGCGTCAGATCTAATTTTGCTATTCATTGGGATATTACAAATATATCATTTATTTGCCCATTAGTTTGCTCTCTGCGGCCGTATGGTTGAGTTGGCTGTTAAAAATGAACGGTATGCGTAGACTACGGACACTGAATCGTAGGTGGCTTCGCAACATTACTCAATAATGGTGATGTCGTTAACCATTTCACCTCTAACAAGACTTAGTATTAACATAATTTCCAACCAATACAATCCTATCATTTACTTTAATGCGTCCAAGGTACTGGATTTTGGCATTAGACCATGCTTGAATCAAGTCTGTGTACCTAAGGTCACTCAGAATTTCTTCCTTGAGAAAGCGAATTAATACAATTTGGGACCAAAGTATTGTGAGTGAGCAACCTCAGTAAATATAATTTGACCTAGACATGGAAAGTGATAGTCCCCAAAATGTTACCGAGAGTATCTAATTTAATATTAGATTAAGCTATCACACTATAGGTTTTCTAGTGTTGTTTAAGCCAAGCACATTATATCACTTTTCTCACAGTGTTCTCAGTCATTGTAAGTTTCTGTATCATTTTCCATTCGCAGAATATCCCATTCGACTGCGTTCAGCATTACCTCTCCAGGCCAGATGACCCACCTCCAAAGTCTTTACGACGTATCAAACGTGTAGCTGTTCGTCGACGCTCACGGCATTTACGTAATGTAGGAGAAATAATTGAACACCATCTGCATCCAACCAGTGTTACTTCTAAACAGACTGAATCTGGTTCATCTTCCTATGCACATCAACCTTCAACATTGGAGTGGGATGCAGGAAAACATTCTAATTGGACCGTTATACAAAAAACCTCGTCGTGTATGTCCCTTGATACAGAAATCGATTGTCCTAGTGAGGACAGTGGAACGTCTCTGAGTAGTTGCACTTGCGATGATTATTTAACCGATACTTCAAATTCAACTAATGAAGAGGATGATTAGGACCACCTTATAACTGTGGTATTTCAACGATTTTTCATCATTTGATGTTTTACTTGGTCTCTACTAAGTTTTCCTTTTCCCCTGTATTTAATAATCCTCATGGCTGAGACATAGTCTTGTGAATTGTCTACGCAGATGAAATATGTCTAGCTGTTATTGTCAGTTTGTTTGCTTCTACCTAAATCTCCTTCATTAGGTCTTTAGCAATAGCTTTTTAAATCTTTATTTTAGCTTTGGTTATGTGTTTGTTGTCCTTGGTGTGATTTCATACAAGTTTCTATTTAAATTTAGTTTTCAAATATCCATGAAGTATTTTGGTTTACTTAATTAAGACTAACCTTTGTCACATGTCATTCTATCTTAAAGGTTATTTTTTAAACAAACTACTACCATTAGTACATGTGAACACAAAACCCACCAAATCTGATCCAATATTTTGTCATACTATTTATAGCCACTTGTGTCAATTGATCCTTTCCTTCCAGTTTTTATTTTCAACTAATCAATAATTCTCTGATGTATATCTTATATATGTGTACATTGTGATATTCTCTCCAAGATTCACTTTCTTTGTTCGCACATATATGTAAAATGTCTTATAAATGAGAAAATCTTGTCAGTCATTGATATTTAACAATAAATGCATTCTGACATAATACCATTATAAATGTTTACTTTGTGCAGAGAGCTTCTTTTGTATGCGTCTAACTGATTTGGTACTCAGTAGAGAAAATCACTCAACAGGGAGTGATAGAAACAATAATCACGAATTAAATGTGACAAATTCAGTAAGAAATTGTAGTAAGAGGATCGCTAACTAAACTCTTCACGTTCTTGGGAGATTTATAATTTGAGCGATGGATACGAAATAAATACAAAGGAAAATACCTTAAGTACACAAGTCAAATTAAGTCATTCTATAATTCAGGTGACTTCTTTTATTGGTCAATGCAAGAAAGTTGGTTGAGCATCACTACTTTTCATATGGGTCCGGTTTCTAGAACAGAACAACTATTGCTTCTACCGTTTGAGAAACTTTGAGTCTGACATTTTGGGAGATAACTAGCCCGACAGAATACTGAAGATGGTTGATTTACGCTGGTACTATAACCGGTTTGAACCAAGCGGCTGGAAACTGATCTGTTCATTGTCTTGACTACATTGTAAGGTGTTCACGAGGTCGACAATGAACATCGATCAATGTAATTTGTTCTTTAGTAGTTAAAATGACCAATACTAAAGGAGGTGGTCATTATAGGTATTTCATCGTTTGGTGATGATATCACCATCAGATCATGGAAAACACTGGTTATAGTCTTCATGCATTGAATGTTCTATGCACTACTTTATGTATTCTTTTTACCAATGTTTCATTGGTTGCGTCACCTGAGCTGTCGGAAGTTGAATATGGATTTCTCACGGTTCGTAATTCACCTGGTACAGCTTTCATAACAATGTATTGGATTTTAAGAATTTCCCGGGGTATCCGTTTTCCCTGACAATAATATGTAAGGAGTCTAGCTTATTATTTATTATTTTAACACATATATATTGGTACAAGGAGGCACCAAATACATATGCGCCACAAAAATCACATTTGATTTGTGAGAAGGTTGTGATACTGCCCAAACCGGAGCAGGTGGTTTTCTTAGGAGGCCACACCCAGAGCCTTCGACCTAAAGTTCTGATCCACAACAAAGTGGAGCAACGTAAGGATATGCAGTCTCATGGAAACCGGTGACCAACAATTGGTTCATACCCCATTTGTTCCTGCAGGATACTGGAGCCCATGTGGACCATTGGTTTAGAATCCGGTTAAAGCGCCGGACATTCGCTTTTCGTCCTCAATTTCGTAAACAACACCCCTGCCACGAGAAGGCAGTGAGTAGGACTTCCCTGGCAGAGGCTATATACGCGTGGCCATGTGAGAGCGTTTCGAGAGGGCGAGCGGGCTCCCCCCACTCTCGGCCGTACCAGGGCACTTGGGGGCTGGTATCTAGCTCGTATTTAACCACATCAACAGGGAGTATAGGTTTTATTCTATAGCGAAGCGTTCCTGCTAAGTTTTCTTTCTATTTCATAGATAAAGAAATACGGAGTATGTATACCACCTTATTTAACTACTTTTCCTGTTAAAATTCTTTATTGATTTATCAGTTGTTCCCGTTATCAGAACATCTAAGAAGGTCATCTTCACACTTCCCTGCACGTGTAAGCTTACTGATGGGAACGTACTTCATTAAACTACTTGAGAATTTTTAGCATTTCGATACTACTTTCAAAGAAGATCAGTGTATTATCCGTATATCAACAGTGTAACGTAAACTTTTTATTAAACGGTTTTCGAGTTTAGATAGAAAAACTAATTATTATTAACTTGTCCAAGTATTATTTCTTACGATTTACATATTTTCATCCTCGTAGTAAAATGAAATTCGCCTACAAGGCAGTCGTACAGATGTAAATAATATTATGACAGTGTATATCATATTGAAATGTTCAAGATTTTATTAAACTTCTAATTTGTTGTAAGCTAGGATGAAACATAATATCATGAAAAATTGTGTGTATAAATAATTTATTATTGAATATCGAAATTTATGCATCATAATTAAAATATAACCCTAATAATAGATCACGAGTATTTTATGATAAATGTGGGATAAGATTTCTTAGTTTGAAGAAAGTAAATACACTTATTTTTCACAATTTAGATGTTTAAGGGATTCATATTCTTCCTTTGATCGGAAAATACCCTGTTTATGGATTTAAAATAGAACAGTAAAAGGATTAAAGTATAAATATCTTTATATATATATATCAGTTGTTTGTGTTTATCGAAGTTAAATAAGCAGTAATTTGGAGAAAATAACTATAACTCGAGTAGATTTACCGACCCTGTTCTATGGCGTTTGGCTGGCTTTTTAATGTTACGATCTTCGTTGTGGTACCAACCAGAATCATCGATAAGTATTATAATGATCGTTATAATAAAGCCCATTTACCAAGTGCAGTCAATGTATTATGCTTTGCACTGGATATTTTTGCATGACAGTTAATAGAACTACCACTGTCCGGCAATACAGGCTTCAGACTTGAAACCTGGTGTTTAAGAGGTGAGTGATCTAAGCACTAATCCATGGTGCCATGGATACACTGGATTTTACGTAATCAAGAAAACTTTAAATGAAGAACTTAAATATTTTGAATTCACCATCCTTCCCATCTTAATCTCAGAGAATGTTATTTACTTGAGTATAGTCAAGCTTGTAATCATATCATATACAGAGACATGTGAAGTTCTACAGGTTGTTAACTATCGTCTTCATAATCCCTTTTCTGGCGTATACTTTGAAAAAAGAAACGTAAATACGACGATTTATGTGTTGTATACAAGCTAAGTCAGAGGGAATATGCATTCGTAGTGTTCTTGCTCATAATCTATGTCGTTACCCTTTGATGACCGGAATTTCTTCCCACTACATAGTTGTATTTCTATAATGTTTTTATAAGGTAAATGACAGTCTGCTTTACTTTGATTTTTTTCTCAAAAATGAAAGGTTGTTCCTCTGAATCTGACTGACTCTTCGATGTATTATACATGTATCGGTTTTTCAAATGGGTTAGTAAATCTTACCATCTCATGAGGATCCAACAGCCTGCGGATTTCAAAATGCAGGTATTGTTTTGTAAGAGTGTGCGATAGATGAGAACTCAACTACTTCAAATTTGTTTTAAACATAGTGAGATTGTGAAGAGTCATGATCATAATTAAAGCTCCAGCAGATATAAACCGATTACATTTTTATCAGTAAAATATTGATCAACTATATTCTATATTGTGTTACAGTTTGGATTAAACTGATGTTGAACAGTTATTATTACTCCAAGTCGTAATGAGTTTGCTTAAAATCTTGGAATTAGAAAAATACCTACGAATCTGATCTCACATGTTGGCTTTCAACCGATTTGATGTATAAAATATGATCCAATTAATTACACTGGTATTAACGTAATTAATAATAGCATTATTAAATTTTGACATTTTTATAATTGTGGTTAATACTTCGAATCAATTTCATATTCCTATTTATTGATTGGTTTCAAAATCGAATGAATCATAAAAAAGATGAGGCCTTTGTTGTTCGTGGTGGATAATGTGGGAGCCGTTAACGAGACAGGATATGCTTACGTTAGTTCGAAAATCAACAGAGTAAGGATTGTCAATCATTATATATAACAGCCTTTTACTACAGATATTGGTTCGTTTTACAGTTATAAATTTCTTTCCAACACATTTTGAAACTGCCATAAGTAGGAGGCGAAATATAAATAGAAAAATATGGATTCTCTTACTTTGGGCAAATGATTCCATAAATTATTGGCATGTTGTCTTAGTAAATGTTGTCTTTCCTCTTCCACAATTCGTTTTTCTTCTAAAATGCGTTGTTTTTCTGCATTTAGCTCTTTTTTCGCCTGTTCATACTCTTGCATTATACGTTGACGTTTTTCAATTAACAATTTATGTGCTTCATTAGCGTATTCCATTCGTTTAAGATGACGTTTTTCTAATTCTGCTTGCTCTAAACGTTCGTCTTCTTCAAATTTAGCTAACATATAATTTCGAATCTGTAAAGCTTCTTGTTTTTCAATCTATTTGATATGAAAAGAATCAATTAAGATACCATTTAGCTCTGTAGCGGTTGGTAAGCAGCATATACTTAGGCTAATTAAGTGAGTATATTTAGGCATTACAAAATCGGTTTCTGTAAGTAACATGGCTAAATGAATGACTGTATAAAATAACACAAACCACTGGAATGTGCAATTAGCTTTTACCCAGACCATCGAGATCGACTAAATAGGCATAGCAGGACCAGATAATCATTAGACAAAACATATGTACAATTCTGGTTTTCACCTGAGACATACATGTCATCTTAGTTAGGACTCATCAATGGGATGTATCTGTATCGTGGGTCTTCTTGCTAAACACCACCGGAATTATCATCATGTAAATCCAGGCGATACTGAAATATTCGTCCAAGGACCCCATATATTCAGTGACTGTTAAAATTTGGTCAAGAATAACAACAATAAAAAAGTAAAAACTTCTACAATCATTATTTAGTGTATGACCTTTCTATGTTCTCAGTGATTACATATTTGATGATAACTAATCATAGAAAACAACTTTGAAATAATATATCCAAAATCAGTCAACTAACTTAAAATCACCCCTTGCTCCGAGCTGTTGCATTCTCTTTAAAAGTTATTGAAAAGCTCATTATGCCATAAAAAGCTATTACACAATAACTAGAGGTCAGAACAGCTCTATCAATGCTTTTCGTGTTAAAAACGTTGGCTTTTAGTAAGAGAAGGCCAATAGAATTCCATCAACAGCATTTAGCTGAAGTATAACCTCTTTTTTTGTTTAACTAGCGCTTAAATTTAGGAATTTTCTTTCTACTTGAACACTGAATGTTAGTATCACAAAATCTAAGTATCTTTTAAGTAGTCATGTGAAATATGGTGAGGAGTAAGAGCAGTATAAGAATAAAAATCATTTCCGAATTATTCTTCAGACTTCACCTAAATTGTAAGAGACGGTTGATTTTAGTATAAGTATCTAGGTAGGTTTTTTCATGTTAATTAAACAAGCAGTTAACAGTACGTCTGAAGTTCTCAATATATATATGGCACTGATTCCCAATAGAAGTGACCTGGGAGTCATACAGAGTTATGAAGATCAGAGCATTTTACCATCCCGTTGAAATCAGTGGATAGAAAATGGCTAAGGTTGTGGTCTCTGAGCCGGATGGCTTAGTTACGAAGCCTTAATTGATTTTTTGAACATTATCAGCACGTACTTCAAAGAGAAGAGATATTAGAATTTCTCTGCAATTTACGAACAGCTTATTTGGAGAGTGGTTTTACGTACGACTTACTCAAAGACAGCAACCTGTTGAAAATCCTCTATACAGTATTGTCTTGAAGTGAGTCAGAAACTGTTAATATACTAGTAGCTTCTATGAAGAAAGTGAAACAAGTTTGCTGAAAATATTTTTCAGGACCTCTGAGTGTTCGATCCATGGGATGGTTGGCTCACCGTAAAATGAACAACTCTAGAAGACAAACTACGTCGCTTTATCCAATCACAAGTTAATTAAGATATAACGGATCTGAAGAAACAACTCTTAGATCAATATATTCACTATTTTTCTTCCAACCGAGCTGTAACGACCAAGGAAAAATAGCAGGAGAGTTTAAAAAAACCACGAAGGATCGGCGGAGTATTGGTTTTTCTATCAAGTGTTCAACTAGTTTCACCAAATACTATAAGGAACACTGTCTAGATCATAGATATATTTCATCAATATATAACTAGATGACAGAAACCTACTAAAAAGAATCAACATATATATCTTAATCTTGAACATATAGACTGAAAATCTGTATTTAGATCTTACTCTTCTTGTTGAAAAAACAAACCCATATTTTATAGTTCGCTTACTCATGAGGTTATAGCACAAAGAATTGAATACGAGAGCATGAAAAGTTTTGCTACATGTTACAAATGTATTCCACTTAGGTACTGTTAACTGAATCATGTCTATAAAATCTCATATAATAATTATAGCTTAAAATCTACCATAAGAATCTATATTTGACTCTCGATTATTAACTTTTAACTTTTTCACTAATTGAAATCATGAGTCAATTGAAGCTAAATCACCATGAAAAACCTGGAAGCACTGGACGGCCGTTTCGTCCTAGTATGGAACTCCTCAGCAGTGAGCATCCACGATCCCGCACTCCGTGAGATTCGAACAAAGGACCTATCAGTCTCGCGCCATACTAGGACGAAACAGCCGTCTGGTGCTTCCAGGTTTCTCATGGTGATTTAGCTTCAATTGACTCATGATTTCAATAAGTGAAATTTCTAAAATCTCCACAAAACCACTTCTGATTTTAACTTTTTATTTTAAAAAGACCTATTTGCTATGGAGGCACATCTAATGAATTTTCATTATCAGATATCACCGATTAGATTACCTAACCTAGATCACCATTAAAATAGGGTGAAATATATTCAATTCACTAATCAAACGATAACTATTTAATCAGTTTAAGAAAAAATAAAACACTGAATTATCACTGATCATTTTACAATTTAAATGAAATTCGACAGATCATGTGGATTCAAGTAATAAATATTTCATCATTTTATTCACTCAATTAGTCTTAGTTAAGATGAACAGTAAATCTGCGGAATAATTAATACACTTAAAGGTTTGAATTATTTACTTATTGTATTATCATATAATGTATAAGTAGTTATACCACGTACATATCTAATGGAGAGTGATTTGCTGAAGAAAATAATCCTTCTTATGATAAGTTAACTTGTATCCACAAATTTATATCAGAAGTACACTTCATAAGTCAAGTTTAAAATATTTTTTTATGATAAGTTTACTTGACCAGTTTACACAAAAATTCACTTATGTAAACTTTATGTAAGACTGGGCAATCATATGATAATGAAATGCTTGATTTTAATTCTATTGTTTAGTGTATACCAATTACGAATTCCTATCTAAGTACATTTTCATGTACACGTGATTATTTGTATATTAGTTTCATTATCTTATTGTAAATATTCTATGGACTAAATTTTAATCTATATCCACATCTATATTTCAAATCCTATTCATTCCTATATATTTCTAACTAATATTTAACCAAATCACACTCATTAGTACATTAACTTGAGTATCTGACTAATAATCGAATTTAAATAAAACCAGAACAAACATTGATGCAGAATAATATGAATTCATTATATTTCGTGGTTTCTTGTCAGCTGCTTACCCCTAAAATTATCGTACAACTTATCTTATCTATCTCTGAACTCCACTCAACTATTACACCACCCATCCTTAATTCTAACACCAGATAACCTCTGACCTGTTCTTGCATATATATATATATATATATATATATATATATATATATCCTTTACATTCATTTATGTCAATTGCTCAATATTATCTCTTACCTCAATGCGAAATTCCAATACATATTTGGTTGTAAGCAGCTGACGAGAAACCACGAAATATAATGAATTCATATTATTCTGCATCAATGTTTGTTCTGGCTTTATTTAAATTCATAAAGGGAACTAATTGCATGTAATAATCGAATTATAAGTTTGATACTATTCTAATGTATGTTCATACTGTTACAAATATTGTTGAAGTACCGATGTAGTTTGTTAGTTCGATTTCATTATTACGAAAATAATAGTGTTCCATAGAAGGATTTATGAATAATGATATATGATAGAAAAAAAATTAAAATGTTATAAAACAACGATAAAAAACAATTTGGTAAATTACATAGGATTAGAAAATGAATCAAATACTGCCTTAACAAAACACATATAAACTCAAGAATACAAGTAACATGATAACTTAAGAGGACACCGTTTTCATGTTTAAAATGTTATGATTGTATAAATTAACCAGTTGAAGTGTTCTTTCATATCAAAGATTTATTTAGGGTAAGTTACTCCATTCAAAATTACTTTATTATAAGGTAAGAGTTTATAAGTTATCTAAACAAACATATGTAAGAAACTGACAGTACAAAGAAATGATTCTTTGACTTATAAACTAATGCTTTAAATTTATAACCTACTGAAATATACATTTAATTGAGACTATTTACCAGAGAGTTTTACGATTATTATGAACTATTCAACTAAAATACACAAGACATATGACAAACAAAAGTGAAATATTGAATAAAACGATGAGTTACAAGTTCTACAGAAATTTTATGGTTACCTGTTTTTGTTTTTCTTTCAATAAAAGTTGTTCTTTATAATCTTCATAGAGTTTCCGTTGATTAGTCAACTTTGTTATCCATTGATTTTCTCGTTCTTCTCTAATCTTTTTGTCATTTTCTTCCAAAATTAATGTTTGACGTATTTCTTCTAGTTCTCTGCGTTCTTTTTCTTTTTCTAACAGACTTTTGCCTAGTTCATCCTACATTGTTGATTGAACAGAAAATTTGTTTTTTTTTAGTATACTAAAGTATTTAATTCAAAAATATCTTTCATTTTATGAAGTTATTAGAGATCACGAATATTGTTAATAGACCAGCGAATCTTCAAGTATTCATAAGACACGGAAAGCGTTTTATACTACCAAAGTAAAAGGAACTTGACAAATAGATTAGTTTTTCTCTGTAGCATAAAAAGTGGATCTAATCATATGTTGTTAACTCTGACGAGTTATACAGGTGTTCTAAAGACACCACACAACGCCAGCCAAACTAGTGCGAAAACGAAGAACATCATCATTAGTTAAGGTAAGCTATGTTGTAGACACATGCTAACTGAATCGCCAGAGCACTATCAAAAGGTGCTTCATGCAAACCTTTTCAAGTAACTCAGGCAAAAATTTAAAGTGATTTGTACCAACAATTATTTTCGGAATTTAGTTTTCATTAAGAACTGACATCATCTACGAAACCATTAACAATCAGGAAGCGACGAAATATGAATAAAGCTACAATAAATATCGGGACATAATAATATGGATTCATTATATTTTGATGTCGCTCATTAGCTGCTCACAATCATATCAAATCTACTAGTCAATTATGATCATTTTTCAGATTATATTAGTTTCTTATTATTTCGCAATAACCCAATAAGCAAATAATACATATTATGTTCATTTTCACCAGTCTTTTGTAACCAGAATGGGTGAAGTTTTTATTTTATGAAAATTTCCGATTTGGTGTCCTCTGTTTCCACTTTCTACCATTGTTTATTCTTGTAATTTTGTTACAGCTATGATATATCATATTGCACATATCGTATATTGTTGTTAATTAAACCCTATGTATCCCTTTAGCAAGCATCCATTTTTGGTTATAGGGTATTTACCAAAAACACATCAGAAATAGAGGTTTGTAATATTATTCATATAATTTTGTAAAAATAATTGAGTTGTCTGAAACCCCCATAAAATTTTAATTATGATCAAACACTAAAAATCTAAGCAAAGGTGAATAATGGCTAGCAGTGGAATCCAGATGTTATTTGAAACTCGTCGTTTGGATGCACATAAACCAAAGAGTTGTTGTTCTCTCTGGGACCCGAACTCAGTATCGTCCGCTTCAAACGTTATCGCGTTATTCATTCAGCTACTGAGTACGGATATCCACTAACTTATGCACTGCGGTGAAGTTTTAATTCACTTTGTATTATTTGCTTGAATCTTCCTATTAATGTTTAGGACTGCAATCGACCAGTCTCTTAAGGCAATATCGAGGCAAGCCGCATAGGATTCACATTTGACCAATCGCAGTCCTAAACAACGATGAGCAGATTCAAACAAACAATACAAAATGAACTAACAATCTATGTGTTTTCTTTACTTTCAAAGGTCAGGTTAAACAAATGATAACAAATAGAAACACACTAACAATTAAAAATAATTCAAAAAATTACTTGTAACTTTTCAATATGTTCTTGTCTTGATTTAAGTGCTGCTTTAATTAACTGTTCTTCATTATCTTTCTTAGCAGTATATGCATTAACTGCTTCCAATTCTTTTTGAAGACTTTCTTTTTCAGCTTTTATATGTTCTTCACGTTCCTTTTGATATTGATCAATTTCTTGACGAATTGATTCTTTTCTTTTTTGGCGTTTTTGCTGTTCACTATTTTGATGATTAAGTTAGAAGAAAAAGTGAAATATACAGTTGAGAAATAGTCTAACAATGTCTCGATTACATTATCGAACTCTTGAATGACTATGATTGCTTAACTGACAGTTTACTTTAAATTTTAACTACAATAAATTTCAAAAGATATAATCACTTATAAACTGATTGAATAAATGAATATACACAAAGTAATAGAATCTAACGTTAACAGACAAACTATTCAATCTAAGTAGTATTACTATGAATTACTTATTTGATAAAAATTTATCAACCATTAAACTCTATACAATTTAATGTTTAATAAATCTAGTCAATCAGTGGTTAGACGATATATTGAAATAAGTCCTATCAATCAGCTAATCCATCAAACAGTAAAAGTATGTTTGAGATTATGTAAAAATAACACAAGGAAACTAGTGTTGTTTGTCAGCTTCGTTGAAAGTCATTAAAATAAAATAGAGAGTCATCTTACTATGAACCCCTATTCTTGACGTTTATGATGATGACATTTCGAAAGACAATAAACTATCAGAATCAAACTATCTTGTTCAGAGGACGTAACACTTATAAGAGTCAACAAGTGAGAAATTTTTAAATGATTGATTTTAATGCACATTATTTGTTTACTCAATTTTCTTCATCCTAAGCTAAATTGAAGAGTAAATTTGTTCAAAATAACTTCAGTTCGAAGAATGTGTATGCAGATGTTTTTTTCAATTATTCTAACAGTATAAAACGAAATAACACTGTCATAATTTATGAGTCCATCTATAATTCAAATTGGTTAATAAACCATAAATGACATACTATTCATCTTCTTCTTTTATTCGCTTGACAACTTCATCAACCATTTGTTTATCATGTAAAAATTCTTGATAAACCTTTTTTCGTAATTCTACTTGTTCCATTATTTGTGTGTCTAATTCATTTCGAAGTTGAATTTGTGATTGTTTTCTACGAGCTTCTTCTTCTTCAGCTCTAATTAATTCATCACCAAGTTGTGAATTTAAACGATGAGCTTGTAAAGCTTCTTCAGTCTAATAATTTTTCAGAAATTAAAAAGATATTTTATCATCAAGTAGTAAGACAACTGATTGATATCTTAACTAGTCTTATCCAAAATTTGATAAACATTTCGTAATATCTACTGTCCTCTGATATTATTCATGAGAAATATCTAATCTCAATATAAAATGTTTTAAAATTTAAACAACACATAATAAAATTATGACTAAATTTACGTTAATAATAATGAAACGTCGAACAAAGCTTCATAACCATTATCAAACTTGAGGTATTTATAACAAATACATACTCACATCCATTAAGTGGTGAGTAAAAGGAGGTTACTTTGGTGAAAAAAGATGATAAGCATAGAAAATCAAACTTTACATTTTAGATTTTGTTGAGTGAAATAAATAATATTTCGTAAATGAGTTTGGTTAAAAATTATTTTAATGAGGGTGATCAAAAATAACTGATTGTTAGGGAATCACCTATACTTCTGTGGTAGATTTGAACATTGAAATATTTCCATTATATGATTGAAAGAATTGTCTTCTAGACAATGAAACGGTTTCACTTTTCTAATTATAATTTCCAACATTAAAATAAGGTGTATAGTTTCGTACTAATTAACTCCATCTATTAGTCGTGATACTTAAATAATTTCGATACACCTTTTAGTTGGTCAAATTTAATCAGTTCATATGGCGTTTATGAAAAATAATCAGTGATAATGTATCGTCCTGAGAGAAATAAAATAACAACATTTTACTGACCATCAAGTCATAAGCAAGAGCACGTTTTTCGGCCATTTGTGCAAGTTGTTCTTTAGCTACATAAGCACTTCGTAGTTTGCTTTCAAGTTCACGAATTTCAATGCTTGCAAAATCAAAGAATAGAAATTCATTAAACTGACAAACAGCCTTCAAATGCACCATAAAAAGATGAATAGTATAACATCCAACATATATATTTACATTTTTTCACTGATTAACCAGATACTAATTTACGTACTAATGTGATAGTAAATGAAAATGAGATAAATTAGAGTTACTGATGTTCAAAAATTAAGAAAATTTGAACGAACAATTGTTTTCACTAACTTCATCATCAGGCCCTACAGTTTTATCGATGTATTTATTCGGGTGTTTTGTGAGAACTAATATAGCTTAAGAATAGTTTTAACTGCGAACAAACTCTGGTCAAAAAGTCATTACATATCAGGGAACACTTGGCAGCTGTTTTGGCTTAGCATGGAATATCTTGACAGTGCCTACTAATAGAGAGGACGGAGGTCCATACTTTGGAGACAAGTGTGAGATAATATTGTTACGTTACTGCATATTCTCGTAATTGACCCTATTATACTGAAGTTAGACTGATGGGACAAAAACAGTGATTAACCAATGATAAAGAATGCATCATGTGAGAAATTCGTTGAAGTTAAGATGATGAACTAATGAATCCTAAATCAGTGGTTAACAAAGTTGTATTCATCACAAAAACAATGGTTTTTAAACTCAAACCCATGCGGACTCCTAGTTCCAGGATTATAAAGAATTAACAAACGAAGTGAAGCAGATGCTTGCTTCTTCTTGGTTTTCAACGTCTGATACTGTTCAAATGAAGTGTACATTATATATCGCCAAACTATTTCAGCTATTCTCAAATGTCCGAGTGTTAAGCCGCAAAATCGACAAGCTATTTTATCTACTGTATCTTTCTCAGTTGTAATAAGTCAGTGGTATTTACTAATAATAGGCGCTTTTCCATTCAGAAGACCAGGAAACTTTGATTAAAAATGAAGAACAATCTATCACAAAATTAAAGATCCATGCACCTCTGTACTCTTTCATTTATGAAATTGGATTTTAAAAATCATATTGTGATGTCAGATAGATATTGAATCGTTTTCAAATCTTCATGTGTACTTTTTATTTCACAAGGGTTGTCTTTTCTAGCAAAGTAAAATTAGATTAACTATTTCATGTTACTAAAACCCAAATGCAAAATACGAACTAGTACAAAATGGTACCTGGACATTTCAATGTAATAGCTAACCTTTCATTTTTAATTTTCTGACGCAACTTTTGTTTTTTTACTTGCTCAGAGTGAACCTTGGCCAATTGCCTAGCTAAAGATTCATCGATTGAGGAAAGTGAACATGTGCGACTTGCAACTTCAGTCTATGTAAACAAAAATGAAAAACTGATGGATTATGGACGTTGAAAGAATAAGTTTGTATAAAAATAGTGTCCATAGATTGACATAGACTTAAAAACGGTTGAAATTCAGGAATATAGGATAACTCCTTGATATAATCTTGGGATTCTTCAATAACATTAATTATCGTGTTACTTTTGTGTTAACAGAGAAGCGCTCAGATTTCATGACACCACAATAATTAAACAAAAGGATTAAAATCTAGAAAATAGCCGTAAATGATTGGCAAAAGTCTCAGGAATTGTGAACTTGTAGTTTCTAGACTGCACTAACACTAATTTTGTCGAAATTAAGGGGACATTGATCATTTAAAATCTTTAACTAACATAATTTATAAGTGAAAGCAATAATCTAGTCACAACAACGTATATCATATGTATATTCGAGCAATCGTCGAGTTCATTGCTCAACAATTTCGCTGAACTGGAATGCATAAAGACTTCAAAGACTTAGAGATCTTCCTGTACAAGGGGCCAGAAGTCTAATGGCATCAGATATAAAATATATCTTTTGGGTCTCCATGTAACTCAAACGACACATTTTGATCACATCCACGTTGAGTTGGTAGGGCCTCTTCAAGAATTAAGTAGAAGTTTCCATTAAAAAAATATATGTAGTGAATTTTTTTTACAATGAGCAGTGACAGTATTTGCCAGGTACATTACTACTGAATTTATTGCAGGTAGTCTTGTTGAGCAGTGGACCACTAAACCAAGTTGTTTATCAAAACTCACAGCAAATTGAGGATGCTCATTTGAATCTAGATCGTTCTGGGTCCTAACTAACTTTGTGGGTGAAGTTAGACTTGTAGAAACTACCTAGCGCTTACAAGTAAATGACGCATTAAGATTATTTCATCAGTTGCTCAGGGTATTTCTTCCAACCGTAAACACATTAGATTGGCAGACGCATTTTCAGTCTCTTTACTCGGACTTCGTAGCGAATGAAAGTTAATGCTAGATGTATTGCAGTAAAACTGTTCATCAAAAATTCTTCAACTTTGTGGAAAACTTGTGGGAACTCCATCTCTAAATATTGATCTAATACCCTACAAGAGAAAACTTACAGACGCCATGTGTCCATTGAAGTCTGCTCGAATCTGATATCAGTCAAATTTTCTCTGTATCCAACCACCCTACGACATAATAAACACGTCTGTGAACGCCTCGATTCTTTATAATAACTGCTTGAGGCTGCTTTTGAAGCACTCAGTGAGATTTTGAAGCGCGGCCTGCTTGAGCATCTGGGCTACCTGTTCCTGCCATTTAAATATTTCAACAAGTTATCTATTTTTGTTTGTTTTAATATATCATTATGTCTATTAATCGCATAACCTATTCTGCTGCGTTTCTAAAAAGTGTACAACCTTTCGTTGTCAAAGTTACAAAAAGCTCAATAAGAGAGAATGTGGTTGCTGGCAATATACAACGAAAAAAATGTACATTATCCAGATGTTCATTTACTGGACTGTTAACATCTAACTGGCGATCACTCAATATTTATCGTCAGGACCGACCAGAAACAAAGAAACGGAAACCTGTTGAAATACTTTGCGCTGAGAATTCTATATTGTACCAAAAATATAATATTGAATAAAGCTAATAATAATGGTAATGGTACCATGTAATTCAAAAAGGTAGAAAAAATCAGAACATTGGCGTAGATTGCTTATGGTAAACGTATTGCGTCATCCAACAACGACATGGCCAAAATAATCACATAAAACGTAGAAATGATGTGTTTTAAAAAGACTCAAACAGTTTTCATCAAACAGAAAGAGTAGATTCGTTCTAGTATACCCGTGAAGCTCCTAGAATGTAGACAATTTATGACACCTATGTGAGGACATCTTATACTTTCATATATATGTTGTCAAGAATTTAGGTTCTAGCCTTGCGCCTTTTTTATATGCTCGTTTGTGTGTGCTTATCTGAACTCTAATTGTTCGTGTATCTAATATTTGTATTTCAAACATCATTTTTTGTATACAAGATAAACCACATTTCTTACGGTGTTAGTTGGTGTGCCAGCTTAGTGTTACATATAGTTATCTTCGGTTCCATGATTATCTGTCTACCAATAATTGAATGCTTGAAATAAACGTACCCTTATAAATTTTCTATTTTTGCTTCTTATCTACAAATTGTGTTAAAATGATCCTATGAAGGAGGAAGTAGGCTGCATTATTATTGTAGGGCCAGTGAAATGTCACTGAGCCCTAGCCAAACCATCTGGCAGTTGGATCACTGAATGTCGAACAGATCGTCGCTCCCTGCCAAGGTCATGTACAACCAACGCGCATTAGTTAATCGTATGCCATGGACTGGCCCATGCGGCAGTGGTCTTGTATTTACTTTAACTAATATATTTCTGTAACGACGTCCCCTGTGTTGTACAGTCTTCAAATCATCTATGGTACCTTGATACGTTAATGGGGTAGTCCACGTAAGGTGCTGACCATGAGGTGTGAATTCGACATTAGCTAGTTTGTCACACCTCATGGTCAGCACCTTACGTGGACTACCCCATTAACGTATCAAGGTACCATAGATGATTTGAAGACTGTACAACACAGGGGACGTCGTTACAGAAATATATTAGTTAAAGTAAATACAAGACCACTGCCGCATGGCCAGTCCATGGCATACGATTAACTAATGCGCGTTGGTTGTACATGACCTTGGCAGGGAGCGACGATCTGTTCGACATTCAGTGATCCAACTGCCAGATGGTTTGGCTAGGGCTCAGTGACATTTCACTGGCCCTACAATACTCGCCCACCTTTCTGGCCCGACAACATCGAAGCCTGGTTTTGCTACGCAGAAGCCGACTTCTCCGAGCACGGCGTGATCGACACACGTGCACAATTCCTCGCAGTAGTCAAGGCACTACCGCGCGAATTCAACAGGTACGTAACACCTAGTATGTTTACTAGTGATGTTTCCGATCCTTACGAAATCTTAAAACGCTCGATTCTTAAACGAGGAGACCTAACCGATCGACAAAGGTTAGATCAACTCTTCAATAACATCGACCTGCAACACGGTTCTGCGACAGACATGTTGCAACGGATGAGAGAGGTTATAGGCCCAAGAACTTTCGACGAAGGTCTATTCAAACAACTCTTCTTGTCAAAACTTCCCCAACAGGTGCAAGCAGTTCTGGTCTCGTTCCAGAACAACGCCTTAGACGAGCTAGCTGCATCTGCCGACCGCATTCTAGAAATTACGAAATCTACTACCGAGGTATTTTCAGTCAAAGAAAAGCCTCACACGACTCAGAATGATATAACCGACTTATGTCACACACTCACGCGTTATCTTAGTCTTCGTACCGACCGTAAGAGATCGCGCACACCACGTAGAAGCATTTCTCGTAAGCGATCTGTCTCTAGACCACGAGAGACAGATAACCCCGACTGGTGCTGGTATCATAACCAGTATGGAAAGTTTTCCAGAAATTGCAGAAAACCCTGCAATTTTCCCAACACGAAACCGACTGATTCGAAAAACAATTCGGGAAACTTCCAAGCCGGCACGCGTTAACGGCAACCGTAGCCGGCGAACAAAGCCGTCTGTTATTCGTCACAGATGTGACAACGAGAGTTCGCTACCTCGTCGACACTGGCGCAGAAGTTAGCGTTCTCCCAGCAAATCCTAACGACCGACTTCACGAATCGACCCTAAACTTACAGGCGGCAAACGGAAAACCGATCGCTACGTATGGCAAAAGGTACGTTTACCTTAACGTGGGTTTACGCAAACCCATCCACTGGATTTTCGTCGTTGCAGATGTTTCTATGCCAATCATTGGTATGGACCTTCTACAACACCACAATCTGATCATCGACACTCGCAAACGGAGGCTAGTAGACGGAAACACTAATTTGTCCGTTTGCGTAACTTCTTTTACTGGTTGTAGAGTATCCCCAGTCACAGTTAAACATATGATAGACCCACTCTATCAACCACTACTCGATAAGTACCCTGGGATACAACAAACGCAACCGAAACTACCGTGTGTAACCAGCAATGTTACACATCACATCACGACTACAGGACCACCTGTATTCTCTAAAGCACGACGACTAGCTCCTGAAAAGCTAAGGTTAGCGAAAAACGAATTCGATCACATGATGGACTTAGGAATCATACGACCGTCAAGTAGCCCATATGCATCTCCGTTGCACATGGTCCCTAAAAAGGACAGCAACGATTGGCGTCCAACTGGTGACTATCGGCGATTGAACGCGAAAACCATTCCCGATCGTTACCCGTTGCCTCACATTCACGATTTGACAGCTACCTTGAAAGGTACAACTGTCTTTTCGAAAATCGACTTGGTTAAAGCGTATAACCAAATCCCTATGGCTACTGACGACATACCGAAAACAGCTATCATAACTCCCTTCGGACTCTATGAATTTTTGCGAATGCCTTTCGGTCTAAGGAATGCTGCTCAAACATTCCAAAGATTCATAGACGACGTTTTTCGAGGTCTCAACTTCGTACACGCGTATGTTGACGACTGTCTAATCGCAAGTCCGGACAGAGAAACACATCTCAAGCATCTGGACCTTGTTTTCGAACGATTACAAAAACATGGCATAACTGTAAACGTTCAGAAATGCCAATTTGGAACCGACTCGTTAGACTTTCTGGGACACACTATCGATGCTCAAGGTATCCGACCCCTTAGAACCAAAGTGGCGGCCATTCTGGATTACCCAGAACCGACCACCGTCAAGCAATTACGCACGTTCAACGGCCTGGTAAGTTTCTATAGACGTTTCATACCCAATGCGCATCACTTATGAAACCTCTGACCGACCAACTTCGTGGAAATGCGAAATCCATTAATTTGGACGACACCGCACGAAAAGCATTCTCCACAGTTAAGGAACTGATTGCTAAAGCAACAATGCTCGCACATCAGGACACCCGAGCACCCATTAGCATCGCAGTAGACGCATCCGACTCAGCAATCGGAGGAGTCTTACAACAATGGGTTAACAACTCCTGGCAACCCTTGGCATTTTTCTCTAGAAGGTTGCTAGACACCGAATCGAGGTACAGCACATTCGGTAGGGAACTCCTAGCTATGTATTGTGCTGTACGGCATTTCCAACACTATATCGAAGGCCGTGAATTCACTCTTTTCACGGACCATAAACCGCTCACTTTCTCGTTAAGCTCTCCTTCTGACAAGTACTCTCCCCGTGAGTCTCGACAACTGGACTACATTTCGCAGTTTACTTCAGATATTCAACACATCTCTGGAGCAAACAATGTAGTTGCAGACGCTTTATCTCGCATAACTTCCTTGAACAGTTTCCAAGGAATCGACCTTCTTAAACTCGCCGAGCTTCAAAAAGAAGACAGTGATCTTCAGCACGAGTTATCGTCCACAACACTTAAACTACGCATCAAACAGATGGGAACAGGTAAGGAAACCTTACTTTGTGACACATCTACAGGTAGGGATCGCCCAATCGTGCCGAAACATTATCGACGCAATGTCTTCAACACATTGCACAAACTTTCTCATCCAGGTGTTCGTGCAACCATCAAGCTTATAGCAGAACGATTTTGCTGGCCTGGCATGAATAAAGACGTGAGGGAGTGGGCACGCTCCTGTGTAAGCTGCCAAAAATCTAAGGTTATCAGACACAATAAATGTCCCTTAGGCTCGTTTAAAACTCCCGATGCTCGTTTCGACCATGTTCATCTGGATTTGGTAGGACCTTTACCAGATTCAAATGGATACTCTTATCTCTTAACCTGCGTAGACCGTTTCACTCGATGGCCAGAAGCAGTACCTATCAAGGACAGCACTGCTGAAACAGTGGCCCGCACATTCGTCGAACGATGGGTAGCAAACTTCGGTTGCCCTTCAACCATCACTACAGACCGCGGACGTCAGTTTGAATCTGATCTTTTCCGTCGTCTGACCACACTTTTAGGAATCACTCGCTTCCGAACGACCGCCTACCATCCACAAGCAAACGGGTTGGTAGAACGTTTTCACCGACAACTGAAAGCTTCGCTATCAGCTGCAAACGTTTCACAATGGACCGACGCTCTTCCACTCGTCTTACTAGGTATCCGCAATGCAGTGAAAGCTGACATTGGATACACTGCGGCTCAACTCGTTTATGGAACGACACTTCGACTTCCAGGAGAATTCGTGGATCCTTCGTGCTCTTCGATGAACATGGATCTAACCTCCTACACGAACAGGCTTACAAACGCAATGCGTTCAGTTAAACCTGCTTCCACTCGACCTCAATCAACTGATGTTTTCGTTCAACCTGACTTACGATATAGTACACACGTTTTCGTTCGTCGAGACTCGCATCGACGACCATTCGAATCAGCATACGAAGGACCCTTCAAAGTTCTTCAACGTGAATCTAAGTACTATATAGTCGATAAGAACGGAACCAACGATAGCATCAGCATCGATCGCTTAAAAGCAGCGTATTTAGAAGGAAATCCTATCCACGTCGATTTTCCTTCGGTACAATCGAACGACACGACTCAGACACTAATAATACCTCATCCGACAACCAACACACACGAAGATACTTCGACAGTATCCGAAAATAAACTTAAAACGACGCGTTCTGGAAGAAGGGTGAGATTTCCAGAACATTTAAACGACTATTGCACGTAAGGCACTTCTCGACATTTTATATTATTTTTTTTAAAAAAAAACAATTTTAATATGCTTATATATTTTTATTTCTATTAAAAAAAAACAAAAAAACAATTTTTTTAACGCTATTACGTGCTCATGAGTTTATTTTCCATTTTTTTCCGCCGACCTTGTGTTTTTACGCATATACGAGTGTATTTTCGACATGCACTTACATTTTCTTTTTTCTTTTCCAGGACGGCTGGAAAAGAACGATGACGTTTATGAGGATCCGAAATTTTCATTGTACATTTTCTTTTTTTACTATGTTGTACCTCCGTCCCATATAGTAAGGAAAGACGACCAGACGCTGCTAAATTTAGTAAGCTATCAGAAGAGTGTTTACCAACGACAAACTCGTTGGGTTTAAACTTCTGGCTGGCCACGTCTTAGGGTCGTCACTGCCCCACTAGGGGGGGAGTGATCTGTAGCGGTAAATAAATCCCTAAAATAAATAGCTCTGTAAGTTTTCGACATTGGATGCTGACCATATGTTTTAGTGGACTCATCTAGCTGAAGGCGCTCGGTCAGGCATCCGCACCAGATCACGTGTAGTAACGCCGTGCTCAACATCAACCACAATCGCTAGCCAGATTAGATCAGAGAATCCCGGTATATTGGTCATCGCCAAATATACTCTTCCGATCTCCTCGACTCTGTCTTTTGATTTCTCTTGGTGGGAACGAAACATATTAGAAGGTGTTACTGGTAGAAGCGTTGTGAAACACTGAATACCTGTGACATCATCATTAAGTTAATCCCAAGGCATTCATTCCAACTACCTCAGTTTTGGTAGATCTCAACAACTGAAGGACTTCAATGAAGTTTGACCACGAGGCCACAACATGATATGATGTCAAACCCTTTACCTTCTTTAAATAGACAATTCGAAGATCTTATGAACCTCTGCCTCAAATGTACTTCTCACGGAAAGCACTTTGCTGTTTTCTTTGGCTACCCTTGAGGTAACAGTAGCAAGAAACCTGGTTAACAGAGTTGTCTAATTCTGTAGTATCCAGGGTCATTGGAAGAGAACCATAGTAAGTTTTGTGTCATAAATCAGTGAATGACACTCACATGGTTACACAACAAATGAGACTTAAAATGCCTCCGTCGGGACTCGGTTTCAAACTTAATATCTAATGTGTTAGGAATATTAGTTTCAAAAAAATCAGAGAAAATTTTTATTGTGTAATTGAAGCAATGAGCCTCGATTCCGGACATGCCGAAAAGAGTCTAGTGAAGAGACACTTAGACGGTCAGATGTCTTTCTAACCAGTTCCATTAGAAAAGTTCTAAATGTTTTGGGTTCTCCTACTGTCCTGCCAGATGTTAAAACAGATTCACATATACTGAAGGAAGATTAAACATTGGTTCGATTTGATAAGAGCTCATTTTCAAAAATTAATGTCTAATTAGACAACGTTTAGGCGTTGAAGTTCAGTTTCGTTTATGTCATAGAGTCGTGAATAACCAATTATTTTCGAAGAGCTAACGTAATAAGTGTTTCCGTCAGAATACGAATAATCAGTGCTTTCTTGTTCATTTAATAAAATATATCTATAACTTCAAATCGCAGCGTTTTTGATAGGCGATCGCCGCTTATGTTGTTACAAATGCATTATTTTTTACCCCCCCCCTCTATTAACAGAAGAGAGGACTACTGAACTGTTTAGTGAAATTCACGACATTGAGAACTAACCATAATGAGTACGATATTTGAAAAGTCCACACGTACGTAGGTATCCGAGTAACCACAACCTTCATAGTACAATTTACACTGAATCAAACAACAAGTTACGCTAATCGGAAGTAGTGAACTATTTGTCTCTTGAGATCTGCATCTGAGTTGTCTAAGAACATTTTCGTTTAAGTAGGAGTGCGACGCTTGTTATTTATCGTCTAGATCTGAGGAACGGAAACAACTGATGAGATTGAATTGTAATCCTCCTTAGTACTCATGGGGCTGAAGTAAACACCGAAAGAATGTATACATAATACTTATTCTAGTGAACAGTTAGAAAAAATACTGAGTTTAAATGCGAGGATTTTGAGGGCAATGTTTGATAGTTGTCATCTCAAGAGTAGTGCAATACCTAAATAAATAAGTGATCTATTTTAAGAGACAAAGCACGCCATGATCGCACTTAAAGACGCCACAAATACTCGGAGTTTGACAACACCTCGGCCAGTAACATGTTTTATAATCAAAACGTGCAAACCCAGTCAAATAAAAGGTCGGAAGCGAAGAGGTTCGATAATATATTTGACAGAATATCGATATATCGAAAAGTGAATAATCCAAGCTGACTAGAAATGTTGTGAGAGATGCGTAACACACCGTACACAATCGTGATCTGCTGCGAATGTATGAGCAAGCGACTTTAGTTAGGTGAGTCCAGTAAAACTCTGGTCAACATCAAATATCCAAGTCTTCAGAGCTATTGATTTAAAGTATTTATTTATCGCTACATGTACTACCAAGCATTTTGTGATACAAAGGTCCCAATAATCGATTCTAAAACATAACGTTGGTTCATTTAGAAATTGCAATATTATCGACGATTATTCGTGACCACCTCCTGAAGTTCACGAAAGCCTGTTTAGCTTATCCGTTGACACATGAACTACCGTATATGGAACTAAGAGCAAAGCTGGCAAAATTAATTACGTTTTACGTATTATGACCAAACGGTTATATGTGAACTGTTAAGTGAATAGTTTTCTCATAATGGGAATAAATCTCATGCCCCGATTATTACCAAAAATTACATCATCAAAAATTATGTTAGTACCGTTAACTTTGATCCTAGGAGTATGCACACCGTCAACAATACCTTTAAACCGAGTGCGAGTTCTGGTGCTGATGACATCCCATCAATCCTTAATAAAATGTCAGGACCGGACATACAGACTCTATTACTCAAAACAAACTCATTATCTTTAGAATCAGATACATATCCCGAAACCTGGAAGCTAACGTATGTTGTCCCCAAACAAAGTACGACCGGGAAACTTGGTCGAAAACTACAGACCTATAAATATAACTCCAGTTATATCACCCATAATGGAAAAAGTCATAAAAAATCAACTATTCGATCACCTACTTAAGGAAGATCTAATAGACCCGTCACAACACAGCTTCATCAGAAAAGGTCCAGCAGTACAAGTCTGATAGACTTCTTTAGCGAGGTTACTCGCATACGCGATCAAAAGAAACTACTGGTTATAACATATTTTTATATTGAGAAAACCTTTGTTAAAGTACCTCATGACCTCCTAAACAACAGACTTCAGCCAGTTTAAATTACAAACTTCCTATTGCAATGATTCGAACCTTTTCTCATGAACAAATACCAAGTAAACGAAATTAACTCTACAACATCTATACTTCGACCAATACCCAATGGTGTTGTTCAGTGTAGTGTCTTTGGTCGATTACCTTTTACAATTTACATCAACAATAGATGCAGGTGCTTTAACACAGATAAGACTTAACTTTACGCAGATGACTTAAAAGTCACTTATAAAAACGACAATTGCGATGTACGTAGTGCTATGCAAATAATCCAGCATGAACATAGGTAGGTAGAATACTGACGAAAACGCTAGAGGTTGTAGCTCACCACAGAGAAATGCGGTTGACTATGTATTAGAGACACGTCTCTTAAAATAAAACTAACACTTAACAAGAACACACTGCCCAAACTGACATCTCTAACTGACCAAGGGGTACATTACTAACACAGTCTTAACTGCTCTGAATATATCTCAGCCAAAGCATCCGAAATGCGTAATTTTTTTGGCTTCATTCTTCGTAACTTCTTTCAAAATGACTCTAAAATCATTCTTTATAAAGTATGTGTAGGACTTACCGTTGACTACTGTTCGTTCTTATTTTCCAATTTATGCTTATCTGATATACTTAAGGCGAAAGAAATACAACGAGATTTCACCGGTAAAATAATTAAGATCGACTAACTCACTGACTACAGTTCGCGACGCCATATCTTAGGACTAGACTCGCCTTAGAAAAGAAGGCTTGGTTCCAATTTGATTCTCTACTTCGAACTCCTCAAAAACCTTACTCAGTCCACACGTAATATATTTCTTTCCCAAGATTCACATGAATACGACCTTCGAGACATAGTAATTACGGTCAAAGTTGAGAAATACAAATCAAAAACTCGGGAAAACTTCTTCATCAAGTATGCGTTAATATAGAACAGTCTTCACTTTGAAATACGTATGGCACATTCGTCTGTAGGATTTTTCATCGAACTCCCACTTGCACTGATTTAGCATGCATGAACATATTTGCGTCCCAGTCAGACATCATGAGCTCTCTGCATTTATAGACCAAATTATTCCAGTATGCCTTGATGTCCCACTTTGCAGTTCTGTTAGATAACTTTTCCTCCCTGACATTTCACTTGAAGTTGACAGGTAACTCACTGCTAAACTAAACTCGGTCGCTAAGGGACGCTGTGGTGGACCAGACAGATATGAACGCGAAAAGTATAAACAAAGTTACTAAGGATCAATAGTAATATTAATATATACAGTTAATTGTTACAAATACAATAAAAATTAGGGACGTTACTTAAATTGACCAAACGTTGCGTGTTCTGATTAGGTCCGGTAATGTAAATCCACAATTATAAATGCTTGATGATTCTGAGCAGGTTGGTGAACTCTCTAGTGATATAATCCCACGTAGAATGTGATATATTCCAATTACAGTCTATAAATAATGATAATATTTGATTTAGACTTCAGCTAACTCAATCACAAACGTAAATAGAACGAGGGATGCGTGAGTAGTAATGTATTTGCGAACAAACCAAAAGTGTGTCACGCTATGTTAGAATCACAACGGAAAAGTCGTCAAAGTCAATGACTAAAACAACACGTACAGTCATTTAATGATGAATGTACATACAGTGAAAAATTGAAAAAACAAATACAAATAATATTAAAAACTATTTACAAAATAAGCTTGTCAGTCATATCTACACATAGCTCCCCCCAGAGTGTCCGGAGGTAACACTGGTTACAATAACAATAATAAAAAATTTTATACAAAAAAAAATAATATTTACAATAATAACCAATTAACAATGTGGAGATGCGTATGACATGTACGTTAATAATATAGTGTGTTATTGCGTGAAAATAGCGGTGATGTGGCATAGCATGACAAACAAAAGTAATGAGAATACCGTCATTTAAAATCTTGGTTTGCTAACAATGATAATAATGTACAGAACTGTTACTGAACCCCAAAAAAATGAACTGCTTATTTTTTTTGTGTGTGTACAACAAATGAATAATTAAATAGAGTTTACTCGTTTATTATTGTAACAAATTTTTTTCTATAAAAAAGTGACAAAACGAATAATTGTGGGGAAAAAATATGGTTAATTATGTACACTGTAAAAAAAGAAAAAAAATCATAGATTTTGTTGGGAAAAATCGGGTGAGTATAATGGTATAGTACATCAGTAATTGTTTGTTTAGATTTTTTTTATTCGGCGAAATGTACATAGCGTTTGGGTTTTTTACAGCTCTGCCTGAGCGCGTTAAGCAAGTAGGTTTGATACTCGGTTTTTCTTCCATGTCTGTTCTAGTGGCGGTTGCTGGAAGTGGTTGGTTCAGTGAAGTAGTATGTTCTTTGTCGTGCTGTGCTTCGTAGAAAGCAGGCTTTATTCTATCGATAGCAATAGTCTCTTTCTTTCCACACTTGTTGATTATGAAGTGTTTGTTCGTTCTTTTAATTACTTGATATGGTCCTTCATAAGGTTGTTTCAATGGCTTTTTGACCGCATCAACTCGAACGAAGACAAACTTGCATGTTTCTAGGTTTTTGTCGAGTTGTATACGATTGTTATGTTCACGAGGCTGTATAGCTTTGATTCGTTGCATGGTTTGCAGCAGTTGGCTAGCAAAAAGACTTGGGTCCGTTGGTGTTAAAGTGTTTGGGTCTACTAGTTGACCTGGTAATGTAAGGGTTGTACCGTAAACTAGCTCGGCGGCCGTACAACCTATATCTTCCTTTATAGTTGAACGGATCCCAGGAGTACAAGTGGTAATGCGTCACTCCATTTTGTCGTATCATCTTGTGCCATCAGCGAGCTTTTCAATTGGCAGTGAAATCTTTCGACCAAGCCGTTAGCTGCTGGTGGGTAGGCTGTTGTTTTGATGTGGTTCACGCCCAGAAGTCTTGTGAATTCCTGAAATAAGATAGACTGAAACTGGGGACCACGGTCGGTAGTGACGATGGAAGGTACTCCGTAATTTGCTATCCAACGGTCAAGGAATACGCCGGCTACTGTTTCTGCAGAAGTGTCAGAAATAGGGCATGCTATCGCCCATCTGGTGAATCTGTCCACTGCAGTGAGGATGTGTGTGAATGAATTAGATGGTGGCAATGGACCAACTATGTCTAAATGGATATGTTGAAAACGTTTTTCTGGCAGGGGATACTTGCCAACTGGACTGATCGTGTGCTTCTGAATCTTGCTGCGTTGACATTGTAGGCAGCTTCGCGTCCATCGTTTTATATCTGCATTGATCTTTGGCCACACAAAACGCTCAGTAATCAATTTGGTTGTGGCTCTGATTCCTGGGTGAGAAAGGTCATGCAGTTGACGAAATACTTGTCGACGACAGGCTAGAGGGACGAAAGGGCGGTTGTTACCCGTTGAAACGTCGCAAATGATAGATGTATTTGAGAAAGGGATGGGTACTGGTTTAAGGTTCAAGTTAGACTTCTCCTGGCAGACCTTCAAATCTGCATCGTCTACTTGTAGTTTTGCGATTGTTTCTAGATCGATGTCTTGTTTACGTACCAGGGTATTTACGTCCTTACGTGACAATGCGTCAGCTACGACGTTGGTGTGTCCTTTGACAAATTGGATATCTGTCGTAAACTGGGAGATGTAATCCAGTTGTCGTGCTTCGCGAGGTGAGTGTCGGTCGTACGAAGTGTTGAATGCGTAACATAAAGGTTTGTGATCGGTCATGATGGTGAAAGTTCGTCCTTGTAGTAAGAAGTTAAAGTGTTTAACGGCTAAGTAGATAGCAAGTAACTCCCGTCCAAAAGTACTATAACGTTCCTGGGCTGGTGACAGTCTTTTGGAAAAAAACGCTATGGGAGTAGTCATGTTGTTTACCTGTTGATGTAATACTGCCCCGACGGCTTTTTGAGATGCATCCGTACACAAAATTAAGTGTGTTGTGGGGTCAGTATTTAGATGTTGTAGCATGGTGGCATTAGCTATCATCGACTTTGCTTTTTCAAATGCTGTTTTGGCGTCAAGAGATAGGTTGAATGTTTGATTCTTCTCTCTCTTCGTACCTTTTTTGTCGGCTTTCAGCAGATCGGTTAATGGCTGTAATACTTCAGCACAACGTGGTAAGAAGCGGCGATAAAAATTACACATACCGAGGAAGCGTCGTAATGACTTCACCGAGGTTGGTTCGGGGTAGTTAGTAATATCTTCAACTTTCGTCTGAAGTGGTTTGATCCCTTGTGAGTCGATGTAATGTCCCAAAAACTCTAAGGCTGGGACTGCGAATATGCATTTCGAAGGATTGATGACAACACCATGTTTTTTAAAACGATCAAAAAGGATGTGGACATGTTGGATGTGCTCTTCTAAAGATGAGCTTGCAATCAGAACATCGTCGATGTAGGCAAACACGAAATCAAGACCTCTTGTTACGTCATCCATGAAGCGTTGGAATGTCTGCGCAGCGTTTTTCAGTCCGAATGGCATCCTTAGAAACTCAAACAAACCAAAAGGTGTTATTATGGCTGTTTTCTCAATGTCTTCCGGTGCCATTGGAATTTGGTGATATGCTCGCACCAGGTCGAGCTTCGAAAAAATGCATTTACCGTGTAGGTTTAATGAAAAATCGTGTATATGCGGAATTGGGTACTTGTCGGGAATGGTTTGATTATTTAATCGTCGATAGTCACCACACGGACGCCAATCTTGGTCCTTCTTTGGTACCATGTGTAACGGCGAGGCCCAGGGGCTGTTGGATGGTCTGATAATACCAAGTTGCATCATATGTTCGAATTCTCTTTTAGCTACTTGCAACTTGCTTGGCGGTAGTCTCCTCGCCCTGGCGCTAATAGGTGGACCGGTGGTAATGATGTGGTGTTGCACCTGATGTGGATTACATTCCTTTTGATAATCTGATTTCGTGATGCATTCGTATTCTGACAGAATGTCGTTGAAAACGTTGTTCGTAGGTTTCATTATCCGTACACCATGGATTTCATAGTCGTTGGAAGGTGTACCATCTACCTGTAAACGTGTATTTGCGTCGATTAATCTCTTCTTGGTCATATCTACTAACAAATTGTAGGCACTGAGGAAATCAGCTCCGAGGATGGGTCGTTTGACTTGGGCAACTATGAAAACCCATGTGAATCTTCTGCGGAGTCCGAGGTCTAAAATAAGTGATTGCTCACCGTACGTTTTGATAATTGATTCATTAGCCGCTACTAAGGACAGTTTAGTGCTTGTCGTATGTTGTCTGCGTGAGAGATGGAGTGGGATGATGCTGATTTCTGCTCCAGTATCGACTAAAAAGTCTGAGCCAGAAATGCGATCCCTGATGTGAAAAAGGCGGCTAACTTGGTGGCCAGTAACAGACGCCGCCATTACTGTCTGGCCGGCTCGTTTCCCTGATAATCTGGCTTGTTTGTCGTAAAGTTGCACGGTTTAGTGCAACGACGTGCTTTCTCTCCATAATTCGAGTGATACCAACAAATGTCAGCTGCCCGTTTGGATGACCTAGTGCGAGGTCTGGACCTTGATCGCTTTCTCGAGATCGATCTGGAAGGACGAGAGTGGATCGTGGCAATGGTCGCCTGCAACGATGCTACTTGCTGAGTTAATTGTGCTATTTGCTGCTGAATGTCCAGAGGGGGATTTATAGCATCTCTACTAGAGGTTTGTACCGCGTAGATTCCGCGACTATCGGGATATATTTCCATCATCTTATCAGCCATGTCAGCTAAGTCGTCGAGGATGACAGAGGTTCCTGAAATACTGAGGATTTGTCTAACACTATGTGGTAACCTTTGTAACCACATTTGCTTAAGTAGCGTCTCGTCTAATTTGTAAGGGCCGGCTAGCTGTCGCATGTGTCGGAGCAACTGTGAAGGTCTCTTATCCCCTAGCTCGCACGAGGTAAGCAGTTGTTGTAAACGTTTTTCGTCTGACAGCGATGTGCGTTGGATTACTGCAGCTTTTATCTTGTCATAAGGGTCAGTTTCTGGTACGTTGTCAACCAGGTCACCAACTTCCGTTGCTACTTCTATAGGTAGTGCACCGACGACGTGGGCATATTTAGTCGCTTGCGAACGTATACCCCTCGCCAAAAATAGTGCCTCAACTTGAGCAAACCAAATTCTAGGGTTGTTGACACCGTATGTTGGTAATCTTAGTTCAGAAATAGCGTTGACTGAGTTTAAAACATTATCTTCTGGCTGTGATGAATGAAAGGGGTTGGTTGATGGGCTATCTATATCGTCATAATGTCAAAAACAAAAATGGTGTGTCGTGCCAAATAATAATAATAAAAAAATATGTAGATATATATAATAGATGTCTATAAAAAATTGAGGCTCATCAAATAATTGTGGTGGACCAGACAGATATGAACGCGAAAAGTATAAACAAAGTTACTAAGGATCAATAGTAATATTAATATATACAGTTAATTGTTACAAATACAATAAAAATTAGGGACGTTACTTAAATTGACCAAACGTTGCGTGTTCTGATTAGGTCCGGTAATGTAAATCCACAATTATAAATGCTTGATGATTCTGAGCAGGTTGGTGAACTCTCTAGTGATATAATCCCACGTAGAATGTGATATATTCCAATTACAGTCTATAAATAATGATAATATTTGATTTAGACTTCAGCTAACTCAATCACAAACGTAAATAGAACGAGGGATGCGTGAGTAGTAATGTATTTGCGAACAAACCAAAAGTGTGTCACGCTATGTTAGAATCACAACGGAAAAGTCGTCAAAGTCAATGACTAAAACAACACGTACAGTCATTTAATGATGAATGTACATACAGTGAAAAATTGAAAAAACAAATACAAATAATATTAAAAACTATTTACAAAATAAGCTTGTCAGTCATATCTCCACAACGATCACTACTACCCTAAAAAGTCAAGAGAACCTCATAGTCTACTGCCTACTACCAGTGGTCTTGCATCTATGGATCCTGTTACCCATCAACCGGTTGGGATAACACAAAATAACATCAGCATCAAGTTAATGTGAGCTCCTTTTTGTCTATTCTTTATCCGCGTTTTACTCTCACATACACGATGTTGAGTTGCCATTAATATTATTTCTCGACTCGTTACCTTAATAATAACTCATATATTTCTATAGTTTCCCACCTACTTCGGAAAAAAACCATCCCACATTGTACCTTTCTTAATGCCTACACTCTGATGGGCAACCTATACTTCATACTATAGTCAGATAAAGCGCTGCATCGATGTATTACCCACAGTCCATAGTTTGTAACTGCCAGATAAGCTTGCATAATGGTACTTATAGAAAGTTTTTTTGCAACAGGATGTGAAACACAGAGCATTGTGTGAGATATAACATATATCCAAAAATAAGCTGAAATGAGCCTAACATCACAAAAGGAGGGCTGGAGTTTTCCAGCAAGCTCTAACTCATGATCTCAACTCTTGAAATTACTACAATCTCCACAAAACCCCTTCTGATACTGATTGAACACTTCACTTCTATCTGAAGTTTGTGCTGATGATATCGTTCAGAAGAATGATGAAAGCTCCACGACCAAACCATCCAGCTCAGAGAACAAAACCCCATCAAAAACTTCAACCACGTTTATTTTTTGCTAAACATTTTATTACAGAAAATGTGTTTTGCTGACCATTTATTGTCTTAAGACATCCGTTTACTTAGACACTGTATCCATAATTCAGATTTGTAAACATCTGTACTGACCACAATGATTCAGAGAATCAACATAGTTACATAATTTGCATCTTTTACTGAAAATTCAGAGGTTGACGAAAGTCGCTTACTATACGAACATCCTATTAATTCTCTTTGATTCATCTGAAAATGTGTCTTCACATTCAATCAAAATTGTCGAGTTAATAGTCAGGATTTTTAATCGGTGAATAACAAATGCATTAATGTCTGAAAACTTCGTGTCATAAAGTTGTGTAAAGGCGTGAAAACTTTTGAGTTAAAATTATTTTAACCCTAATTTTACTTCCCCAATATCACTAAAGTTCTTGTTTTTTTCATATTTTCATATTCTTGAATTACTCATTTCGTTATCGAATTTCTCATCTGAACAGACTTTTTATCTTGTTGATTACCAAAATTTGTCTAGTGTTTTCACAAGCATGTTTTCCTTCTGTTCCTAGAAGAAACTGTCGATTTATTCTTTTGAATACAACTTTAATGACAAAGTATATAATAGTTTCTTAAAAACAAACTATGTTTATGTACCGATTCTGAATAAAACTGTCAAGCCTTAGTGATTGATTGCACTTAAATATTTCATATGACTTCATTATCAATGTTCACAATAGTCACACCTTCCAAAATGTCTTGATTATTAATGAATATAAGTTAGAGAACAGTAAAAGGTAAGATGCAAAGAACAGTTATTTTGTCTTAGTTTAAGACTATAATGTAAACCTGACTTGAAGAACCAAGAAATTTGAGGGTGAGATAGTAAATCACTGCTAAAACCGGTTGAAGATCACTTACTATCCCTTTAACTAAAGTTACAAGTATAAACAGATGAACGTGAACTCAGAGGTTCCTCGATAACTAGTTAATTGAAAAACATGACTGCCTTAGTTATACCACTTGTCTATGCTTATAAATGCCTTTATATGTTAACTTATAATAAAGAATTATTTGCAAATCACACGAATTGAAACGGAAGGAATAATGTTTACATTGATTTTGATTTGTTGCTTTATACAGGATAATGTTCAACGGTCACAGAAATTGGACGTAATCCTTCTTCTTAGTGTTATTTCTCAGTCATCATGCTTTTGTTAAACTAACATTTCAACATACGGTATTCACGTCAATAGTTCATTATAAAGCAAACTACTAATGTAGTGAACGAGAACATGAATAGGGACGAATAATTTATATTGAAATAGAAAATTACTGAGTGTTTCGGTAAAATATGAGAACCATACATTGAATACTTCGTTTGCGAATTTCCATCATTTTTCCTTCACATTCTGTATGATTCTTCTTATTTGTAATTCCTTTCTATTCTTTTCAAATTGATCTT